TAGACCAGAGCTGCAGGGGGTGAGAGGACTGTCAGACACAGTGGGGAGCAGACAAGCAGATGTACTGAAATCCACTGCTGGGGGGCAGCAGGGAGACAGGAGGGGTCTGCTGTGCCCTGGGCTCCCCTCCCTAGCCTGGGGCGGACTCGTGCTGTGGTGCCTGCCGACAGCTTTAAAGGGCTGAGACTCAACCCCTTGAGCCATCAGGGAGGCCCCCTAAATAACTTTAATGTCACTTTTCTGCAGGTGAAGTTTGAGTCTGTTCACCCAATAGATATTGCTGCCCACTGTCTGGGTGTGCTTGGGGTGCAGCCAGTGAAAGCAAGCAAAGCGCCTCATCTCTGTGGCGCTAGGCTGACTTTCAGTCCCTTGTCACCAACAAGAATTTCGCTGAAAAGAAGCACCTACCTGGAAGCACGCAGTTTCCGCCCTCACTTCCTGTCCTCTGTCGACATTCCCTGCACGCTCAGAGTCCAGCATCCACGAGGAAGGCGAGACCCTGAGCCTTTGCCGGAAACTAAGCAGGATGCCCCCTTTTTAAAGACTGAAATTGATTGGGTGGCCTCAGCCTCTGAGATACTCCCAGCTTGATTCTGGAAGCTTCTGTGCCCACTGTAGCATCTAGTCTGTTCTCATTTCACTACACCCGTGGTCTCGTGTCCCTGAACCGCTGTGCGCTGTCCCCTGCAGTGCTGGCCGGGGCCCTGCTGGAAGAAGCCGAACAGCTGCTGGACCGTGGCATCCACCCGATCCGCATCGCCGACGGCTACGAGCAGGCCGCCCGCATCGCCATCGAGCACCTGGACAAGATCAGCGACAGCGTCTTTGTGGACGTGATGGACATCGAGCCCCTGATTCAGACCGCCAAGACCACGCTGGGCTCCAAAGTGTATGTTTGTTGCTTTGTGAGTGGGTCCCGCTCTGCTTGGGAGTCTGAGGCCCGGGGTGGGGTCGTAACCTTTGGCCTCACAGACACTGAATCACCTACTGAGAATGCAGACGGCGCTTTTGGCCCACGGTTACCTGGTCTTGCATACGTGGCCTCGCAGGCTTGCAGGAACTGCATTGCAAGTAATGATCTCTCGTGCTTTTTCCTGAGGGGAAGGTTGGTTTATCTAAGCAGTCTTCAAGCTGCCGAATTTTCCAAAAGGCAGTGCCCTCATCTGCATCAGGAGCCCTCGCTGTGCGGGGTCCCGAAGGGGGCAGTCCTAGACAAGCGCCCCCACCCCAACCCCCAGGATGACTTAGCCACTTTGAGCCGCCGGAGAAAGTGCAGGTGGTAGCTGGTAAGGTGTGAAGTTTCTGTGCCGGCCAAGTTTGTGCTTCCCTGTGGGGTCGAGGCCCCCAGCCTAGGATGGGGCTCCTTGCCCCAGACGCTCAAAGTGCTGGTCAGACTAGAGACTGAGCACCCCGAGTTTTAGAAAACATCTCCGAGTTACACTATGGTACCTAGCGTTTTGAGTTCCCTGTCTCCGTCTCAGTTTCTGCCTTGTTACGGCTGTTTTCTGTGAGCATGAAAGAATGTTCTGGTTTTCTTCAGGGTCAACAGCTGCCACCGACAGATGGCCGAGATAGCCGTGAACGCGGTCCTCACGGTCGCCGACATGCAGCGGCGAGATGTTGACTTCGAGCTCATCAAAGTCGAAGGCAAAGTGGGCGGGAGGCTGGAGGACACTGAGCTCATTAAGGGCGTGATCGTGGACAAGGACTTCAGTCACCCGCAGATGCCAAAGGTAGGTCGCTGCCCTCGCGGCGCCCGCCGGTTCCCGCTCTGCCATCCGCCAGCTCAAACGCGTGTCTCTCCTGGCAGCAAGTGGAAAACGCTAAGATCGCCATTCTCACGTGCCCGTTCGAGCCTCCGAAACCAAAGACAAAGCATAAGCTGGACGTGACTTCAGTAGACGATTATAAAGCCCTTCAGAAATACGAGAAGGAGAAGTTCGAAGAGATGATTCAGCAAGTGAGTCCTGGCGCTTGGCAAAACGCGAGGCGGGGGCCGTGGGGGCCGGGC